AAAACACATTCTCCTCAGTCTGCCCTTGGAACTCGTTTATCTTAAGGTTTCTTCCCTGTTATGTGCATAAATGCACACATACACACACATATACACACATCCACAAATATGTACACGTACATATACATACACACATAGGCACACATCTACAAAATCTATACTATCCATGTATACAAACATGTACACACCCAGACACGCATACACCATATAAGACTACACATATGTGCACACATACACATATATACACATATAAATATGCATAAACATGTGTATAGACACACCCACATACATATGCACCCACACATATACACACATCCATAATATGCACACAAATATGTGCACACATAGGCACAGCCATACTTATACATGTACACAATCATGTACACAGATTTGCATGTTGGGGCTGGAGCGATAGCACAGCGGATAGGGTGTTTGCCTTGCATGCAGCCAACCCAGGTTCGATTCCCAGCATCCCATATGGTCCCCTGAGCACTGCTATGGGTAATTCCTGGGTGCAGAGCCAGGAGTGGCCCCTGTGCATTGCCAGGTGTGACCAAAAAAAAAAAAAAGACTTACACAGACATGCATGTCATGTGCACACATACATACACATGCACAGATGAACATCCGCCAGAGCCCAGGTTCCTATTCTGTTCTCCACCGCAAGGCTGCATCATTCATCAAACACCTTTGAACCTGTCCTGTTCGGTCCCTGGGTCAGGCTTCTGCTCCACTCATGTTTGATGTCACTGAATCTTGAAAGCATCCTGGGAGCTGAAAATTAATATTTCTGCCCTCCCACTTTCTTTTCTTTTTTTTTTCTTTTTTGCTTTTTGGGTCACACCCGGCAATGCACAGGGGTTACTCCTGGCTCTACACTCAGGAGTTACTCCTGGCGGTGCTCAGGGGACCATATGGGATGCTGGGAATCGAATCCGGGTCGGCCGCGTGCAAGGCAAACGCCCTACCCGCTGTGCTATCTCTCCAGCCCCCTGCCCTCCCACTTTCTGAATAAGAAAATTGGGACTGAAATGGTCAGCAGCTGGTCATAGGGAGTGTGATGGAAGGTCACAGGCATTTTGACAGTGGCAGACTGAAGACACTTTGTACAATACCAGTTACTTTAGCAGAGTTGTAGCCACCTTAAGTCAAATTCTAATAATTTTTTTTTTTTTTTTTTTTGCTTTTTGGGTCGTACCCAGTGATGCTCAGGGGTTCCTCCTGGCTCTGCACTCAGGAATCACTCCTGATGCCGCTCCGGGGAACATAGGGGATGCCGGGAATCGAACCCATGCAAGGCAAGCGCCCTCCATACTGTACTATTGCTCTAGCCCCTAATAACTTCTTTTCATTTTAAATGAGTCCCTTGATCAAGCTTCCCTAGCAAGTGAGCAGCACAGCCAAGTCTGTGCCCTGCCAAGGGTCCTGGGGCAAGTCTAGGAGAGAACTGGACGCTCTTCTACAGTTGCACTCCATGGGACCCCCCAAAGGGAGGTGCAGCCTGCCATGGTACACTGAGAGATGGCGGGATGATAGTAATTTGACCTTTTCTCCCTGATTTTTCGGGTCCTCAGCTGTTTCTACTAGCCAAGGGACGCATTCCCATGGGACTGCAGACCCACCTCCGGCCACCAGAGGGCGGATCTGCTCTACGGCCAGGTCCTGAGCATGGGTCACCCCAGAGCCTGGCCCAGGGGGTCCTGCCTGGCTTGGACTGAGGTTGCCTTATGGTCCAGCCCACGCTGAATGCTTTGCCATCAGAATGCTCTCTTGGGCCCCCAAACCTCTGAACTTCATAAGCTGCATTCCTGTTCAGACACTCCTTTAGCCCTGTGTCCACTGGGCTAAAGGTGGCCATCGGTTCCCATGACTGCAAGGACAGCCTCAAGATGTGGCCCCGACTCATTCTATCAAGCCCTTTCCCAGAACTGAGAGGCTGCAGGCGGACTAAAGCCTTAGGACTGGCATCGTCTCCCTCTAGAGATGAGGAAATTTGGTGAGGGCCACGGGGAGAAGACCACTTGGTCTCCAAACTGGTTCCAATCCCCTCCCAGTCTGGATCTAGGGATGGAAGGGGGAGGGGAGTATTGGAGAGGGGAAGGAACCAGGATGGTGTTTCTGCATGGGGAGGAAACCTTGGGGAAGACCAAGGCACGGTGGTATTTCCTGTAAACTGAGACCAGCCGTCCACCACCCACCCGCCATCCCTCCTAGCCTTCATTGATTGCCTGCTGGGTACCCAAGAATGAATGAGAGGAGTTTCCTGTTGAGTGGGGGGGAAGGGGGTGAGTCAGCAGCTAGGAAACGGGGACACCTGTGTCATGGGGTAGGCACCGAGCCAGTGGGGGACACTCTGGGACCCACCCAAGTTGGGGTATCCCTTGCGCCTCCCAAGTCTACAAGGATTTGGGGGTGGGGAACAGGGACACCCCCCTTTCCCTGCAACTTCTCCCCCAGGTGGGGCTCCCCTCGTAGGCGAGGCCGGCTGCCTTGGGGGCCGGGGGTCCCCCCTCTCCCAGCCCTCTCTCGAACGCGGACCGATGACTTCACCTGAGTCAGCCGGCCGCCCACCCGCCCCTCAGCGTCTGTCTCTGCATCTTGTGATATTTCGCTCCCCAGCCCCACTGCGCTCGCTCCGGAGGCAGCTCGGCAAACAAACTCAGCGACAGATTGTGCCGCGGCTCATTCCGGGGAAGGACGCCAAATCCCACCCTGCCATCCCCCCCCTACACTCCCTCGTCGCCGCCGCCCCCTCCAGGCCCTCCCCGCCCGCCCCACCCCAGCCCCCCACCCGGGCGCGGGACCCCCGCGGGGTGGGTCTGGGAAACTCAGGAGCCTATTTCTGCCTGGGGAGGAGTTGGGATGTGGGATGGGGGAGCCGGAGCGACCCCCCCCAATCATCCCACCCCACCCCACCCCACCCCCGCACCCCAGCCTCTCTCTACCTTATCTGTAAAGCAGGGTGGGGTGGGGTGGGAGCGGTTGCAGTGGTAGGGGCTGGAGCGATAGCACAGCGGGTAGGGCGCTGGTCTTGCACCAGGCGGACCCGGGCTCAGTCCTAGGCCTCCCATATGGTTCCCTGAGCACCCACCGCCTGAGCATCGCTGAGGGTGCGCTCCCCCCGCCCCCCCCCCCCCCCCGCCTCCCCAATATGTTAAGGGCTGAGCGGGCCTGGGAGTCTCTGGGGCAGCAGATGGAACCAGCAGGGGGCGCCCGAGCGCCGGGGGCGCACAGGGGACCTGAGCCGGCTTTGGGAAAGGCGCAGGCGGGGTACGCGGACCGAAAAAGGGAGATGGAGACCAAACGTGGGGGCAGGGGACCGCGAGCATCCGAGGGAAGCGACCGAGAGACACGGTGGTGGAGGGTCCGCGCGAGCGGCAGAAAAGAGTGGCAGAAAAAAGAGGCAGATGCAGCGAGAAAGGAGCCGACAAGGAAAAAGAAAGGGAGCACGAGAAGGGAGGGAGGGAAGCGAGAGCAGGAGAGCATAAAATATGAATAAGAGGGTGGGGGGGGTGAAAATCCGAGAATCCGACGGGGGACGAGCCAGCCGGGATGAATGGGGGCACGAGCCAACGGTGTGTGCCCGGCTGGGGCGCGGGAGGCGGAGGCGCGGATTCTCGGGTCCCGCGCGACGCGCGCGCGCGTGGCTGGCCGGGCTCGGGCACCCGGCGCTGCTGGCCCCCCCGGGCACCAGCGCAGCCCACCGCCGTCCCGTAGGAGCTCCCCCCACCCCGAGAGCCCCGCACCTACCCCGCGCCCGGGCGGCTCCCCAGAGCTGGATGCGGAGCCGGGACCGGGTCGTAGCCCGGATGACTGTCCCCACCAGTGTGGCCATAGGAAGGAGACGCTTGGGAGGGGCGCAGGGTGCACCTCTCTTAGGAAGGATTTCCTGGTCGCAGAGAGCAACTCCCACCCCCCACACCCCCAACTTTCGAGTCCTTCCCTTCCCACTGCCAGCGTTTTTTCTTTTTTTTCTTTTGCTGGAGACGAGCTATCGCCTTTAATGTACCACAGACTCATAGGGACGTGTAGAGAACACGCCGGCACGCGTACCCAAACTTGCAAACGCGGTAACGGACGGACACACACACACACACACACACACACACACACACACACACACACCAGGACACCGATGTCCTCGCCACCTCCCTCCAACCTCTTAGAGCATCGCGTTTGGCACCAGCGCCGACGCACCAACTGGCGGGCGCCCCGCACCAGCTCCGCCGCACTGCTCAGGGCCCTTGGAGCCACCGCACAGCGGGGAGGACGCTGGCCTTGCACGAGTGTCCGAGCCGGGTTCCATGCTCGGCACTCCATAGGACATCGCCCCCCCCCAAAAAAAATTTAAAAATAAATAAATAAATAATGAATAAAACCCCGCCAGGAGTGAGCCCCGGAGCGCAGAGCTCGGAATAAGCCTTGAGCACAGCCAAGCATGCCCCTCCCCCCCCAAAAAAAAGAGAGAGAGAAAAAAAAGGGGCGCTCGCGCGTTCACGCTAGCACCTGCGTCCCAGAGCACGTGCACGCTCCCAAGTTGGGTCCCGCACACCCAAACTCTCGCATCGACTGATCCGCGTCGCGCGGCCGCCGCCCCGGGCTCGGGTCTGGGAACCGAAGGGGGGAAGCGCGGAATCTCGGAGCTCTCCGGGGGGGACGGCAGGTCAGGACTTTGGCGCCCGCACGCAGTCCTCGGGGAGCCCCTCGGCGCCGGGAAAGTTCGGAGGGGGGTGGGGCTGGCCGAGTCCGCGGGGTTCCCTTCCCCTGCCGCACCCCCGCGGCGAGGGATTTCGGTCGTAGCGCGTGCGCGGCGGCGAAGGCGATCGAAGCCAGTCCTCGGGGAGCCCCCGCCGCCCCCCACCTAGAGGAACGCGAGGGGCCGGGATGGGGCAGGGGGGAGGGGTGGGGGGAGGAGAGAGCCGATCCCGCCTCCGAGTGGCCTGGAAGGGGTTAAGTCGCCCAGCTAGGAAGCGAGGGAGGAGCCAGCGCGTGCGGGAAGGAGGGGGTGGCTGGGCAGAGCATCCTCGCTGTCCCCACTCTCCCTCGGCGCGCAGCCGGGGCGCACGGACCAACGCACTGACGGACCCGCGCGCAGCCCGCGCTGCTGGGGGGCGCGGGCCCCGGGGCGTCGCCCGCCGGCTCCAGCCCTCCCCGCCCCGTCGCGTCCCGCCCCGTCGCGCCGGGGGCCCCATGGCTCCTCCCGAGCCCCGCAGCCCGGGGGGCGCAGGGTAGAGCCCCCCGAGATCCGCCCGCCGCCGCCGCCGCCCCCGGGACTCCCGGGTCCTCCCGGAGCCCCGCGGGGGGTCGCCGCCGTCGCGTCGCGCGGGCTCCGGGGGCGCGGGGGAGCGCCCTTGCCCCCTTCCCTCCCCCCACGACCCCCCACCCTCCCCCGAGCGTGGAGACAAGATGCTGCCCTGGCTCCGACGCCTGCTGCAAGGTAGGGACCCCTCCCCCGGGGGGCGCGAGGGTGCGGCCGCGGCGGGGTGCGGGGGGAGGGGGAGGCTAAGGGGGGCACCGGCTCGCCAGGGGCCCCGCCCCCGCCCCCCCAGGGCGCCCCGCTCCGGGGTGTCGGGAACTCGTGACCTCGGGGTGCCGCGCGCGGAGCGGGGCGCGCGGGGCTCAGGTTCCGCCGTCCCGGCTCCACCTGCTCGGGGGACGCGGCGGACTCGGGCCGGCTGGGAAAGCGCCGACTCAGCAACTCCGCGTGCCCGGCGCCCGGTGCCTCAGCACTTTGCTTTCCCGGGACGGCGGGCCGAGCCGAGTGGGCAGGGCACGGCCGGCCAGCACGGGAAGCCCGGAGGGCAGATGGAGGGCGCCCGAAAGGGGACGGGTCCACGAGCGGCGTGACTTGGGGCGGAGAAGGCGGGGGGGCGGGGAGCGGGGGTGGTCCAGGAAGGGACGGTCTCAGATGGAGCAAGCGACTGGGGTTTCTCCCACCCGCCCCCGGAGGTCGGGGAGGCGACGGGATGGGACGGGGAGCCGGCCAAGGGAGCAGGGGACCCAGGCGAGCTGGAGGAAGCTGGGAGGAGAGAGCGCAGAGGCGAAGACAAAGGCCGGGGACCCCCAGCAAGGGGGGTTGGGGGCTGAAGCGAGTTGGAGAGGGGGGACAGGAAGGAAAGGCAAGAGGGACAGCCAAGAAGGGGGTAAAGGGGAGAACTGTCCACATCAAGGAAAGTGGTCAAGGATGATGCTCTGGGCACCCCAGAGGCGCTGGGGTACCCCCAGAACTGGATGGGGATTGGAAAGAAGGAAGGAAGGAAGAAGAGAAAGGAAGGGATGGGGAGGGGGTGGGGGTGGGGGGTTTGCCCAGGGAGGAGACAAAGAGGCTTCTGGTAACCACATCCACGTGGGGAGCCCCAAAGCTGCGCCTGGCGCCTCCCTTCCCTGCGGAGGGAGTGGCTGGTGGGCCAGAGGGGGGCTGGGCCCTGGGGTGATGTGGGCGGTGGGGGGTGCAGCCCCCCAGGCTGGGTGCCCTGACTGCCTCCCGCTGCCATTTATAACCCTGGTCCCCACGTTGCCGCCGCCGCCGTGGTCGTCGGGATCCTGCCGCTGGCTGGGTGCTTGCTTATTTTGGGGTGTTACATTCTGGCGGAGTGGAAAGCTGTTTGCGCCGACGCCGGCGCCCTTCCCAGGCCCACCGCCCGCCCCGGTCCACCTGCCCCAACCTTCAGCGCCCCCCCCCCCCCCCACCCCCCCCCCCCACCCCCCCCCCGTTTCAGAGTTTCCTATTGAAAAAGCACCACCCCCTCACCCCGGGCCCTCTGCCTCTTCAAGTTTTCTGCCACAAGGTGCCTCTGGACAAGGGCAGCGCCTGGACAACTTTCTGTGCCGCCCAGGGGTGGCAGTGGGAGGGCCCAGTCCTGGACCAACGGTCCCTGGAGACTTTGGGGCTCGGCCACCTCAGCAACACTCCCCCCGCCCCCCCCCCTTCCCAGATCAATGCAGTGTCCTGACCTCTCGTTGTCTCTGCCCTGCTCAGGCCTGGCCTCGTCTACTGGACACCGGGTCTGGCTGTGGGACAATCCCTCGGGTGACCGCCCCGGGCTGGCCACAACATACAGTCCAGGACAGGAGAGTTGCGGGGAGATCCGGGGGTCCCTTCCCGGCCCTGTCCCCTGACAGTGCAGAAACCCAGCATGTGGTTGCATGGGGACCTCCACCCCCTGCGCCGGACTGGGTGAGGGGACAGGCTCTGGCCTCCCTTTGCCTCCAGCTCAGCCTCCCACACACACAGTCTCCGTGGGTGACGTGGAGCCCCCAAAGGAAGATCAGCGAGCCCCTTCTTACTGGCCTCACACACACACACACACACACACACACACACACACACACACACACTCACCACCACCCCCCCCCAGCACCGGCTGCATGGCCCCAGGCAACTTTCCAAGCATCTTCTTGAGTGGTCTGCAAATGCGGGACCCCCAAGCTGCTCCCTCTGGGGGCAGGGGAGGGCTCCCGTGGTGGGGTGGGTGCACGCTGGGGGTGGGCCCGTGGCAG